GTTTGTATTGAGAACATGAACAAATAAACAAAGAAGTAAAAATTTGATTTATATTTGATTTAATGGGAATTATGATCTGGTTCAGAAACAAAGAATGGGGATGGGTAGTCTAGTTTTGTCTCCTCTTTTGGCCATGTTTTCTTTCGGTTTTGGTTATATTATACGAAGGCCAGTGCTCCCTCAATCATTTGGCCACCATACCAGTTTTTCGATGCGATCTATTTGACCGCAGCCCAAATGCGTGCAACACTTTTGCAGTTTATGACTGAAGAGAATTAGCGCTAAAGTATGCTACTTTCCAGCTGAGCCCTGAAGTTAAATACTTAATGATAAAAATATATACGGGAAATGCGATTCCGTTCTGAATCCGCTTCTCTATATTCTGATTACTAAGATTTTAATGCAGATGAAAAGAAAGTTCAGTTAAGAATGTAATCTCATCGTAAAAATATAAAGTTCCTAGAAATGTTGGTCTAAACTAGTTTAAAGTAGGACTTCAAACGTTGTTACATGGCCAGCGGATTCCAAATTTAAAAAAAAAATTGCTTAATCTCATTTTTATTAATTTAAAAAAAAATTGGGCTTCGCTGGCCATGTTACAACGTTTGAAGTAAAAATTTTAATTCAAATTATTGAAAGTTAGGACACAAACTTTAAGAGGCAATGCAAGACAGATAGTTGTTAAATGATGCCTTTACTAACTTAGAAATATAAAGCATTAAATTTAAGAAAAAAAGTTCAGTCTTAAGTCCAGTAAATAAAGTAATTAAATTCCGGCTTTAACACTTCAAATTTTATTTGTAATAAAATTAACGGTCTTAGAAGTTTGGGGTTTGTGTCACATATGTGCCTATCAATGCCTTATTGATTTGAATTAGATATTTATTCAAAATTATTAATTGCAGAAATAGATTACTGAGAACATATGAAAACTATTGATGTACATATTGAGGTAATGCCTTTTATTACGAATTTTCAAACGCATTTGAAACGCACAAACGAGCTTTCTCCTTAACAAGATGGCCAGCAAATAAATAAAATATTTTGTTAATTGTGATCCGATTTCGATGGGATTTCTCAATTTCCCAGCACCAGAGTCACAAAAGGCGGGCATTTAAACCATCTTAATGGTCTGAGCACGCCAAATACAGCGAAAATCATCGGAACAATTACAAAGCATCTAAATGTTGGACCGACGAGGAGTTGCAGTTGCAACATGATGCATGCGGCAAGCTGCATGCTGCATGCTGCTCTTGATCCGTGTGCAACAAGTTCCAGGAAGAGGAAGACGAAGACGAGGATCGAATCGAATCGGATCGGGACCACAACCGCGATCATCAAATGATCGCAATATGAAGCTGATCGTGTATGTCAGTGCGAGTCGGCATTCGTTTAAACAAATAAAGCCCGCGACTAATTGCATTTGCACTTGTTGTGCGATATTTCTTTGCTGGAAATTAGACGCGGCCACATTGGATGTGGGATACGAAAGAGTTGGCATATGTGCTCTCTTTGGTTGAAGATGGATGCTGAGCACAGTTTAAGACACGTCATTTGTCATTTATCTTTCGTGGCCTTTTAGCGTTTGGCTTAATTGACTTCTTCTCCATCATAATAGCTGCAGCGAAAAACAAAAACGACGTAATGGACAAGCCAAGCTGCAAAAAAAAAACGTTTTTAAAATCAATTTCTTCATTTTAAAGTTTAAGATCTAGTTAGTTAGTTAGTTAAACTGTAGCAAATAATCCAAAACAAAACACAAAACGCCCCAATTTTAGAAAACTAATTTATAAATTATTTTTTTATAAATTAAATTAATTACTTACAAGCTATTTATAATAATAATAATATTCTGAAAATATTCTTAAATTAAAATATTAAATACTAACATTTATTGTGTTAATTAAAAGTGTAGAAGCATTGATTTTTTTTTTACTCAAAATGTTCATAAAGAAAAAACATAAACCTAAATCAAAGCAAGAAGAGCTGTTGCGTTTTAAAAAATTATTATACTATGTGTGGATCAAAGCAATATTTTTTTCTGTGCAGCAACTTTTCTAAGCTAAAATTCTTAGTTGGAGTTTTGGTCTCAACATTTCTCGGCTTCTCATCCCATCGCATCGCCTTGTCTTATGGTCAACCAATTGACCGTAGTGCGGAACATTTAGCTTCATTACGTCGGGCCATGTTTGCTGCCTTGGCCATCATCGCACTGCAAAACCGTTTTAATTAGATGTAACCATAATAAATCATAGGAGAGCCAAAGTCAAATTCAGTCAGAAATGCCGACGTATCGAAAGAAAATTTCCAGGTTGCCATCTTGGGTCCTTGGGTATAAAGACATACAGTGAATGCTCTATAGATAAGCATAGTAAATTTTGAAATTTTAAAGATTTAAAAATTCGAAACAGTGCTTAAAAGTTTTATAATTCAAAAATTCTTAAATCAACGTAAATAAAAATGATAGACTGTTAATGATACAGATATTTTTGAGAAATAAAATGTTCAAAACTTTGGCCAAATGGAATTTCGTTCCAACATTTTATTTTTATCCCTACTTGAAGTTAATCAAGTTCGAGGTATGTAAAATGCAAAACAAAGACTTGGACTTTCTGACTGTTAATTTTTTTTCAGTTCCCATACCAAAGAGTGATGTTCTATTGACATGCAAGTTGGCAGTTTTGGTCGGGCCATAAAGTTCTGGCTGGCAAATGAGGTTTTGCTGCCCACCCTCAAAGCCTGGCGGCCTTTAGAGAAATTTCGTGTTGCTTTGGTTCTTCGGCTGTTGCTGCTGCTACTGCTGCTGCTGCTGCTGCTGCTGCTGCTGCTGCTGCTGGTGATGTGTTCAATCCAATGGATTATTGTCTACCCTCGGTGTTCGGTTCTTTTAGAGCTGTTCAAGAGCTGGACTTAACCCACATTGTGGCCATTAAAAAGCCATTCCCCATTTGCCGAGGATGGCCATTTGACAACGCCCGGTGCGAAATGCAAAATGCAAATTGCACTGGCAATTGCCACGCTTCATTCCGCCCCCTCATTTTCCTTTCCATTCCATTCCATTCCATTCCAGCTCCCCGATCCCCTATCCCCAATCCCCAATTCCCAATCCGCTCCGGCTCAGACATCACCCACTGCCTTTGCCACATCTTAGATAAGTGCATTGTGCATTGCATGCAATTTGGTTGCATGTATTGCCGACACAGCAACAACAGCAACGTCAGCAACAACATCAGCAACATGCAACCAGACCCTGCAACTTTGCCTTGCTCTTGGTCTTGAACTTGTGAATTTGCTAGACAACAAGCCAAAAACCAGGAGAAGCAGCCACCATCGGCAGCAACAACAGCAGCAACAACTGCCAGCAGCAATCAGCGGCAAGTGAATGAGCTTAAATTGTCCAAAGCACTGTGGGCCGGAAAGTTTGGTTTTTAGCCAAAAGTGTGGCAATTACTCTTCCCAACGGCGAGGTTTTATATAACAAAATAATTTGAAACATAATTTATGTGTGTTTTTTAAATGAAGACTACTCTTGTACTAGTACATGTCAGGACTGTACATTATTCTAATATTTTTTTTAAGAAATCTCCTCTGAGGGTTGAAACTTTACTTGAAATTTATGATTAAACAGATTTTTTTGTTGAATTTTTTAACTATTTTTCGTGTCAGCCGAATATTTGTATTTAAATTACATAAACGAAAAGAACAAAACTTAAAAAATGTTATTTTTAAGCTAAATGTTAATTTAATAAATGTTTTATAATTATATGTGCTTCTTAATTTCATGTTTTTAAATGCAGTAATTCTTCTTTTAAATAACCAGTTTATAAAACTTTTATAAATATGCACAGAGAAATTTTGGCAAAGAACAAAGGTAATTTCATTAGTTTTCCCATAGTGCAATAGCCGGAGGTGAGGTGGCTTTTGGTCGGATTTGGTGGTGGCCATGATGATGGCTTCGCTGGCTGATTCTGCAACCCATCAGTTCCCCATTCCCCAAGTTGCTGCCTCAACGCCCTCAGTACGTTATTATATAGGTATATAATATATATACGGCTGATGTTGCTTGTGTTGTTGCTGTTGCTGCTGCGAGTGATTTTGCTACCATTGCCGTTGCTGCTGCTGTTGTTGCTGCTGCTGTTGCTGCTGTCTGGTCGTCTGTGGAGCATCAAGGCACTGGGGCAGCGAGGCATCAAGTTCGCAATGGGCGACATGAGATGGCTAACACACACACTTACACACACACACACATACTAACATGCACACCAGCAGCAGCAAGTTAAACCGAAGAGCAACCGCAGTTACTTTTGGCTAAGACTGCATAGACAAGCCTCAATTAAGTTGCAATTGCAGTTGTTGCTGCTAGAGTTGCTTATGTTGTTGCTGTTGCGTCTGATGTTGCTGCTGTTGTTGCTGCTGCTGCTGCTGCTGCTGCTGTGAGTGCGACTGATGTTGCTGGCGGGGAAGCGTTGGCGGCATCGGAATTCCACTCTGGAGCTGCCCACGCGCGCGCTGCTCGGCTGCCTGTTGTGCTGATAAAGTCCGAAATGATGTACTACCCATGTGCTGGTGGCTTATTTTACTTTTATTTTATTTTATTTTCTTTTCTTTTCTTTCGTTTATTTCTTTGCAACCTCGCTAGCCTTCTCCCACCCACAATTGCTGCTTTTTAGTTTCAGCACAGGAGCGCACTTTTCAATGGAGTTCAAAAGTCAAGTTCGGATTGGTTGATTTAGTGGATTTATCCACACTGTTGAATATTTTGACTATTTAAGTCTTTAAGGCTTCATCTACATAATAATACAAGTATTAAGCTTCTAAAAGCAAAGAAATATATTATATGTTTTTGCTTAAAGTATGTTATTTTTTTTTAAGTAATAGTGTTATCTCAAAACTCTTGGGAAAGAATTTATAAAAATTAAATTTGAGTTTATTCGTTTTGCTTGTACCAAGTAATAATACCAAAAACTTCCACCCATAAATTTCAATGTTTAAAAAAAGCATTTTTACTTTCAATTTTTTTATTTTTGTTTTGTAACATTTCCAAATGGCTGCGTATATTTCCTTCTTATAGATCTTCTGCTATTTGAAAAGACTCGGATCTCATCAAAGTGAACTATATTTAAGGTTTAGTGTGTTTATTCTTTCTCCCTTGCATGTAATTTACATATCCTTCATTTTTATATCCAGAGATTTTGCTCAGTTTTTTTGTATATCATTTTTTTTGTTATTAAATTGCATTTGTTAGCATTTCTCCGAATTTCACTTCTTTTGTTTTCTGATAATTATCGAATAGTTTCTGATTATTCCTCTCATTGTATCGCTTTAGGTTGCAGGGTTCTCCATCTGCCATTCATCTTTTTCGGTACCGAATTCCATATGTAGAAATCTACGAATCCGACGCTGCAGTGCCTCCATCTGCTGGATTATGTTGTCCAGATGCTGAATGGTACGCAAGGTGTTCTCCTCCTTCTCGAGCAATCCGGTGGTCAGCAGATCCGACTCCTCCTTCTGCGAGAGTGTTGTGCAATCCGCTTCTGTCGACGCCTGACTGACCATCGAAAAATCACCATTGTTAGACATGTCACATTTCGCTACCACATCAATGTCCGCCAATTTGGTCTTGTGGCAATCGTCCAGTTCGCCCAGCAGATCCATCTCCTTGTCGAGCATATAGTCCGTGGGATTCTCGGCATCGGCAGCGATATTCACCTCTGACATCTTTTCCATTTTGCAATTTCTTTTACAAGTTATGTATTTTATGTAGTTGGTTTTGTATTATGGATTTTAGATCGTGTTTATTGGATACAAACTCTATATTGTAGGTGTACAAGTTTTAAACATATTTGTGCGACTCTCAGCAACGCCTACTTCAATAAAACTTTACTATTCTACTAATACTATTATTTATACAAAATACTTTTGATTTTAAGAGGAAGACTTGAAAAATTAAAAGTCAATCAAAACTAAAAAGTCTTTGTATATGTATATAACAGACTGAAATAAAATATTTGTGAATTTTAACAAAGGTAGGAAATTTCTAGGCAGATATTTAAACAATTTAAGATGTACTTTAAACATTTAAGAACGTTTGCTCGTGCTTATAGTTATATAAAATAAAGTTCTTTACCATACGTATCTTAGTTTTAAATCCACTTTAGCTTAAGTAGGTTTTAAAAGTTGTTTAAAGTAGGTTCTAAACTGCCAACTACCACTGGTGTTCTCCGTTTTAAAACCTACTTATAGCTTATAGTGAAAACAAAAAAAAACTTATAAAATCATTTTTCTATAATGGTATACCATAGTGTGTTGGGTGAACTCTGATCCGCTCCTGTTTTTTTTGAGTCTGTGCTGATAAGAAAATTTATGGTTGCCCGGTTGCTCTGGCGGCATAATTGCGCACCCACATCCAGAGGGCCAGAAACATCCACTCCACATGAAGTCCGGCAGCAGAGAAAAGACCAAATAAAAACGAAAGAATAAAAAAAGGGGGCGGTGGAGAAGTGGCTTGTGGGCTGTCTTTTGGCGTGTGGCTTCATCGCCAATTCTTCTAGCCATCCCTCCCCCTTTCTACCCCCATTCATTGCCGGCAGTTGACTTTGTTTACCCGCAAGTTGTAATTTTCTGCGAAAACCGTCGGCCACAGAATTGCTTTTCTCCATCTCCATCTCCCAAGCTGAGTCTTCTGTCTTCGATAAATCCCGCTTCTGTCTGTCTGCTGCTCAGTCACTACACTTCACTTCGCCCCTTTCTTGTGGAAATCTACCCCTTTCTCTTCTTCTTCCCCCCTTCCACCCCTTTCTCCAATTGCAATTGGTGCCCCCAACTGCGGTCTTGCGGTGATCTTTCTTCTGGGCTTTGCCTTGCTAATTGCTTGCCAGAGATTCGGGCCTCTACTTAGGACATCATCCCAAGCCCATTTTAAGCAGAGAACAAAAATATTGTACTGAACATAAACAATAAATGATAAAGTTACATATATACTTATACTAAATATATATTTAAAACATTGAAATATTTATAATGTGTGGTTTTATTTAAAAACCATAAAGAAACAATTAAAAATTCTGAATGAATTCATTTGACTATACAACAATAATCACATCATACTGAATATTATTATATTATTATAAATACGTTTTGAAATAATTAAATACCAAATTGTCTTCACTCTAATATTAAAAGTTTTTAGTTATTCATCGATTCAAGAAGAAATTAAAAGTTATGTTCAGTGTTTTTCAAGTAACATCAGCGATTGACAGGCTTTTAGCCAACTTTGCTATTCCATTTGGAGCCATCTCGCCATTGAGGCATTTCTTGAATGCCGAATTGTCACATGTGGAATTTCGCAGGTCTCTAAGAAAACGTTTAGGCATGTGAGCTGCGATAGGATACGAAAACCGAAGAATGCGGTCAGGCTAAACAAATATTAATTTAAGCCTGGCAGCATTGGTAGACACAAAAAAAGAAAGACTCACAACTAACTCAAAGGAATTTTATGACAAATTTAACTTCTGAGCATTATTTCCTAGACTTTTGATTTTTAAAACGATTTTTTGAAAAATGTATTTGATGAAACATTTTAAAATTTTTTAATTTTTTGTAAAAATTTGAAAAACTGAAAAATTTGATACTGTGAATGTCATTTGACTCTTTTTGTTGTAACTTGGCCAAAACTAGACGTATAGCCATAAAAGTGACTGTTTTGTACAGCTGGCGACCTATACTTTCCATCCACAATCGGTTTAGAAAAATTGTTTTGATGCAAAAACCAATTTCTAAAAATCAATTTATTTTTTAATTCATCATAATTTTTTTGAAAAATTTTTAGTTGTGAAGGCGTGGGTGTTTGGAGAAATAAGAAAATTAACCCTTTCCAAAGAGTGTTTTTTTTGCAACTTGGCTAAAACAAGACGCAAAGCTATATAATTGATTGTTTTATACAGCTAGTAACGTAAACTATCCATATCCGATCGATTGAAAAATCAATTTTGATTTGCTTAAAATCCCGATTTTTAAAGTGTTTTTTGTACATTTTTTCTTTTATGAAAAATAATTTAATTTTTAACAAAAATAAGTAGCTCATAATTTGTTTTTGCAAAACTTAAACATTTTTATCTGTGAATGCCATTCGATAGAAAATTGCATGACGAATTAAACGATGTATGACATTGCTACCCTTGTCCAATCTGTCCAAGATAGAACGATCTAAACTATCAATACCGGATTTTTTTGTATATTTTGTTTTGAAAAACATTTTAAGCAGGGAAAGTCATTGGATTGGAATATTGTATGACAAGGTAAATGCCTAAACGATTTTTGGTTGTGTTTAAACATTTATTTGTGGTTATCTTGGTTGTAAAGCGGGGACATGTTCTATGTTTCACATTGAATAATAAAACAGGCGTAAGCACTTTTTGTGAATGTTTTATTTTATTTATGGACAAATTAAGTTTAATTTGTTGATGTTATTTAAGTGTTGCGTTTGAATAATATGTGTTTTTTTTTCCTAAAGTGTTTTAGCTTGAGATATTTAAATGTAAGCAATCTAAATTATTCCCACAACTTATATAATGTGTTTTATTTTATTTTGCATTTCATGGGTAAAAAAGCGAATTATGATGGAGAATAAAGAAGAGTCTGGGAGAACTGAGAACCGAGAAGTGTACCGCTAAGATGCCTAATTACATCCAAGACGAGTGATGACCGATGATGGCCATAAAAGTTCACATGATCTGCTGATCTCCCGGAGGCCTTGGTCATGCAGGAAGTTCAAGTGTGTGCGAGAGTAAGAAGAATACGATTCCAGACACTCAGACACTCAGACACTCAGATACTCAGATACTCAGACATTTAGACATTCATGTATTCGTCCGACTGGAGTTGGCCCAAGTTGACTTGACTCGACTTGGCCCGGTCAAATCTTCGTGGCTTCAGCGTCGCGTCGGTAGCAAAAATCAGCAGCACTAGCAAAAGACTGTGAAGAAGATAAGCGATCATAAAATAATAATAAAAAAAAAAAAAACAGCAGACACAGAAACAGAAACAGCTGAAAGAAAACGAGTAGCGAATAATGCAATATACATTAGATATAGAACAAGTCTATAGAAAATTACGATTTATGTAACAAGTCGAGGAATTCAAGTGCATTTATTTCCGCATCTGGAACTAAGTGGAGAAGCAAGCGCATAAAAAATAATTCAACAGCCCAAGACTGATCGACATGGACGTATCCTGAAAGTACTAGAATATATAAGCTATCTTGAAAAGAATAAGAACGGATCGTTAGATGGTTACTGATTTTGAGTGAGAATTGTCACAAAGCATAGTTTATTTAATTAAACATGATTGATATTATTGTAGTATTCTATAGGGTCATTTGGTGTTTAAAATAATTCAAAATTCTTAAAATTACATATTGATAAATTGAAGAAACGAAGAACAAGTTGTTACATAACTTTATTTTGCCATAGATTGTGGTACCTTTATTAGTTTATTATACCTTCTTTTTATTATTTCCGCTTAAAGTACACTTGGCATAGATTTTAGTGCCTTTACTCCCCATCAGGTCTAATATACCTTTTGAGATGCCATTTAAGAGTAACCTGCCGATCAAAAGCGAAGCAAAGAAAGCGATTTTCCGATCTGCACTTGGTTGGCGGAGTGGGGAACGGTCCAGGATCGGTTAGGATTGGATCGCCGCAGATCGCTACATTGCATCCATCAGAGCAGCGCCGTGAGTCAGTCAGTCACCCATTTGGACAGTCAGTTAGTCAGTTAGTCAGTTAGTCATTCAGTCAGTCAGTCAGTCAGTCAGTCAGTTATTAAATGTGACCATAAGAAATAGGAACAACACCAGACAATGTTAAAGGGGAGTTATTACATAACAGCGGGCACAATTGCGAATGGGAATGGTGTGTACAGAAAGCGAGAGAGAGAGATGAGATGAAATGAAATGAAATGAGATGAGATGGCTAGGTGGACTTGTAAAAATCATAGCGCTGCTAAAGCGTAAAGGCAAAGAATTATAATTTTCCAATCAACTGATAAATTTTTAATGATGCGACGGGCCGGAGGACTTGGGGATCTATAATATGTTGTCCAAAGTGCATGCTGGAATCCCGCCGCGATCATGATCATTGCGCCGACTTGTGGTAATAGTAGTGGTGATAATGATCATCATCATCAACATCATCATCATCATTATCATCATCGCGCGGACATTGGACATGTGTAAGAAACATTCCCATAGGTGTGATTGCCGGCGCGCAAGAACAAGTAAGACACCAAATTACTGTTACCTAGACGTCCATATGGGCGGGTGGAAAACCCAAGGGGGGGGAGGGGTCTAAGAACGGGGGGTGACGGGGGAAAATCGGTGGAAAAAGAGGCGCCGCAAATTCACTTGGTGACGAGTGACCAGTGACTGGTGACTGGTGACTGGTGACTGGAGACTAGTCACTAGTCACTAGTGACTCCTCCGTTGCCATTGGCACTGGACCAAAAAGTGGTTTCGTGATCGATGCGGGTATTTGATGCCCCTGACTAGTTTGATTGCTTGACAGCCCCTCCCCTTTTTGGCTGCATTTTCATCGCTGTTTTTGCCGCACATTTCCCATGCAAATATCCCCCCAAATCTCCTGATGAAGTTGTCTGTCTACCTGTCTGTGGTTTAAGCCGACACTTTTAAGCCGGACATTTGAAAAGTGCTCAATCAACGAATGACATAATAAAATACCATATAGATTTGGTAGTTGAAGTGTGTCTTTGGAATAAGTTTGAGGTGTGTAATTAGCTATAAAAATGAATATAAAACTTCAAAAATGTGAGACATAAAATATTTATTTTAATGGATA